AACACCCACCACCACCGCCAACAAGAACACGAACCATTAATAACGGCAAAAATACCAGTAACAACAAGAACACGAACAACAATATTGACAAAAACCGTTACTACCACCAACCACAACAGCACGAACAACAATAGGCAAAAGCACTTACAACAGCAAAATAATAGATCTAATTTAACGGTTGTCCCGTTTCAGATTACGTGTCATTCCGTAGACTATCGTTTCTTTGATTAACGGTTGCACATGAGAAGACACACAAATATGGATACAATTTAAACATGAATGAATATTATTCTCAAGGGAGTGACACGTGGTCTGAAATGGGCAAAACATTACGCTCATGAAATAGATTTGGTCCATTGACATGCCGTTGAACAGGCACGTATCGCCGGTACATCACCTCTCTCACCTGTTACGTAAGGGTATATTTCTTTCGAGGTTTCAAATCCACTCAAGTCAAACTCGTTCATGGCTTTGTTGATAACGATAATGGCTTTCGATGCTTTGCCATCCCAATTGTAATCGAGCTCGTGAGCCATAAATGCATCTAGTTTGAGGGAAAAAATACTAATTTTGTGCATGCCCATAAAGATAGGTGACGAAAGTAGTGTTGTAGTATATTACGCATGAAAAAAAAATAAGACCAATGAATATGTTACTTACAGCTAAGAATAGTTAGGTTACAAGATTGTTCATCGAGTGGATAATCTTTTAAGTTCATCTCACAGCCTGCAGTTATCGTCAACCTTGATTTAACAGATACGTTATGAGTACTGTACTTCAGTAATGATCTCTCTAGTTTATGGCTTGCCATTCTTACCTTGTACTATATCTTGTTCGACCATCAGGAAAGATGGATATTTTACTGTTATCAGCCGGCACGTTATGAAACTTTGCTGTCTTGACGTTGAGAAAAAATGTATCAGGCATCCAAATTAAGCGTCGGTATTCACCACCTAGGGTTATGGGATACCTTAGGTCATGCTTTAGACGCTCGTCATACCATTGTTGATAGAAGAATATATCAAGGGAAAAATCCTTAAAGAAAAAAAAAATTAAATTTTTTACCCTATTGGATTTGGCTATATATCTTTTCCCTTCCTTTTTTCTTCCCATTTCGACTCTTTTTAATTTTGTTTTGGTTATTCCCTCTCCTCATTCAAGTTTCAAGTTTCAAGTTTCAAGTTTATTTTTACAAAATAATGACTATATATACGCAATTTATCACCCCCTCCTTTCCTTTCCTAGGTGATACTGATTAGCGGTTTGAGCAATGCGCAAGCCGTTCCTGTTGGTCAGTAGACGTTCTTAGGCGTTTTCTGTTATCGCATCAGTTATTTAGGAGTGACCGAAGCGATCAGGCGACCTGCCAATTGCTTTTATCCTCTACAGTCAAAAAGTAAAGTGCTGCTTTTGAAAATGGCTGTGAAAAAACTTAAGTACGGTCTTGGTAAATATGCATGTTTCACGTACATACCATGAAGACTTCACGGATTTGACCAAAATTGACCACAGACATACCCACTGTCACATTTATCTTGTCTGTTTGGAAAAAAGGTCTTATTCTTCTGTCATATCTGCTTTCATCAAATAACTTCTTCAACGCGTCTGTTGTCATATTATATCTATAAGTTAAGAAATAAAGTAAGTGGGGAATAACATCAAATGACTTGTGCTCAAGTTGAATCCTAGGGTTAAGTTCATTTGCCTTTCTTGTGAGGCAGCGATGCAGCTAATAAAAAAGTGAGCGTATATGTAAATATACGTTAGTCATGGGAATGAATGAATATCAGGCAAGGAACATGAATCTCTTTGATAATTGTTACCGCAGCAGGGGTAATTCACATTCTAGCAGAGCAGAAACCAAGCTGTGCAATTTTATAACATAGCTACGAGCCGGTTATGATTTATTAATTAGCGTGCACGAGCGTGCATCCAGAAACGAATGGTGCGCGCTGAGGTGATTGATTAGCGCGCGCCAAGTAATAAAGATTTCTTTAGAACAAAATTTGAATAATTTTTTTTGATAAAAAAATATTTTTCACGGTTTTGCAATGTTATAAAAGCAATGGTCAATGCGTAGTTGTGCGTATATCCAGTTCTGAATGCACGCGGGAGGTTGTTTAAGCACTCAAAAAGCTAGAGTTGCACTCGGCTATCCTCGTTCGATTCTTACTCTTTTTTCGTGCTTAGCAACCAGAACTGGACATACGCACGCTAAGCATTGACCATTCCTAAAATACAACGAACAGTCCTCTCTTGTGGACCGCTGGGGTAAAAGGGGTGGGGGGGGGGGGGGCAGGTTTCTCTGGTAGCAAGAATATGTATAAACTCCGGCATCTTTAGCTTTCACTTATATACGTCTCGATTAGCAATTTACTATTTAAACAAAATAGCCAAAACCCGCTGGTACTTCTTGAGTGTAAGGTAGAAAGCAAATATACCATGTACGATGGCAAGCAAGTATGTGTAAAGAGCCAGTGTCTATAAATATATTCGTCTGTCCTTGTCATTTACCAGACGTATAGCTTAGGTAGTAAGAGCGTCGGTCTGTTGTGCGGGAGGTCGTGGTTCAAGCCTCGGCCGGACCAACACTCAGGGTCTTAAAATAACTGAGGAGAAGGTGCTGCCTTTGTAATTACATCTGCAAATGGTTAGACCTTCAAGTCTTCTCGGACAAGGAATTAAAACCGTATGCCCTGTCTCCCAACCCTTCCTAACCTACAGTAAATGGGAGACATAAAAGAACCTGTTGAATTATTCATGTAAGAGTAGGGGATTGTCTCCCGGTTCAACAGCCTATCCCAATCTGGAGGCATTAATACTAACTTACTAACAAATCACTCATGATTGTAAGCTGCACGGCTGCTACTAGCGCCTAAATACGCAGCCCGTAAAGTCCTCCACTGGTCATGATTGTGAAGCGCATTGAGACCATGTAAAATGCGCTATATAAGAACACCGTTATTATTATATAGAAGCTTGCATTAAAATTACCATTACTATCTACATTATATTTCGTGACCCTGCCTGACACTAATATTCAATTATGCATGAATGATTAATGATTAGAGGGTAATTAGATTAAGTACCCATGACATATGTGACAATATTCTCGGTATAGAATCTATGAGTAGTTCAATGACCAACTGAAACATTCATAGTTTAGATGATGCGTTTTGGAGTTGTAAAAGTTCATTTTTGTCGTATGCTAGTGCCTGTGACTTCAGGGATTTCATCATTATAAAAATCATTTTTCTAATTGGTTTCCACATATATAGTAACTAATTGGTTTCCACATATATAGTAGCTAATTGGTTTCCACATATGTAGTAGCTAATTGTTTTCCGCATATATAGTAGCTAATTGCATGGTTTCCACATATATAGTAGCTAATTGGTTTCCACAGTGTTTTGAATTACAAGGAACAACAAATTAACAAAAATGACTTTCCCGACTTTTATTCCAAACTAATAGTTATCATGTATTGTATGTGTTTGTGTGTGTAATATTTTGTCTTATATTTGATATTTATTTTCTCCTATATTTAATAATATTATTCCTAAACTACAAAATCTTGTACTCCGACCTACTAGTGTAATAGTTATTGCCAGAAGTTAGTGCCCTGCCATTATTTCCCTATTCGAATATATGTATATTTATTTATTATCATTATCTGTAAATATTGGTGGTCAGTGCTTCCTGACGTCACAGGCACTAGCAAACGACAATAACAAACCTTTGTAACTTCAAGAAGCATCATCTCAAACTATGAAAAAAGGTCATATACTACACACCTTATGTAGAATCTATACTGAGAATATTGTAAGATGTGTCAAACTTTAAAGAGCTTATACCACCCAACTCAATATTGATTCTACATAAAGTGAGTATTTGAATGGTGAAAAAAATTCACATGATTCGAGTGATGCATCTTGGAGAAACAGCAGAATAAGACTAAAGAAATAACGAAGAGTCGGACCACAGGTTTTGGTTCTACCGCACGGCGTCATGTCAATCAACAAAACTAGATGAAAAAGAAGGAAAAGAACACATTTTCCCAGATAGAAACTTATCTTTAGTTTCCGTAAACAGGTGATTAAAATGTACTAACGTATATACTGAAGTACTCGAACTTTGTTTTGTATACATGATGTGTTTGTGTGTACTATTCTATGTTTCTGTTATCATTGACTGGCCAGCAGATTTCAACGTAACTTTGTCAATAAACTGAAGACCTGTTACAAAAGCAATAATATTTTTTTTCAATTTAATTCAACAATACAACCTTAAATATTAAAATGAAGCAACTCTGCCGCGTATATTTACTTGCTTGTTACGTTTATCTTTTTACGATGAGAAGCCAATGTTTTTTTAAATATTGGAATTGATTTTTTATTTTATCTTATCGAATATTTATAGCATGATAAATCAAAGCGAAACGGCTAGCAGCTAGGGTTGCCCATATCAGTTCTTTTCGAAGAATTGTCAGTGCCGAGAGAAGATTTTTATCTGTATGCGGTACTCGCTTTAAAAGTGGTGATATTTTTAAAATTCTCCTCGTGTTTCATAGTCGATGAAGTAGTAGTGGTAACTCTTCTGCACTAGTCATTCACTATAGTGATCCATATCTATTTATGTACTTTAAATCACAATGAGATTTCTATAAAGCGCTAAACCTATATATGAGCGCTAAAGGAGTTTATATCTACATATATAATTACAGCCAATATGCAGTTATATTCAAATGGTTATTACCCTTTATGATGCTAGAGAGACTCGTTTCCCCTGAGGGTTTTTAACATCCATACTTCAGTTAAAGTGACATTTTACGAATCATGAACATGGAAATTCAAAGGCATCAGAATTTCGCTAATTTTGTCGGACAGAAACACTAGCTGACACTGCACTGGGTCAATGCCGTGCTTGATTTTATAGTCATGGTGTGTTAGGGCAGACTCTCTCTACTTAGCGTTTGCGAAGGACCATGATATTATACTTACTTGTCGCCATGTGTTGAGCACAAGTGCAGTAATATTGACAAGCAAATGAATTCCCGTTTTCTCATACTTGGTGTTAATTAATCCTGTTGGAAAAAAAAAAAAAAAAAAAAAAAAAAAAAAAAAAAAAAAAAAAAAAAAAAAAAAAAAAAAAAAAAAAAAAACACGTGCAATTCTACTAGTCCAATATCTGAAATATTATGAAGGAAAATCTGTGCTAGATACTTGGGAGAAAAACGAAGAATCCCATTAAAAGAACATATTTACAAAAAACTCAAAGAAGCAACACCTTGTCGCAATGCAACTGCTTGATTGTGATGAATCGAGAAAATAAATTCCAACTAATGTTGGATTAAACATGTTCAATTGTACTCAAGACTGCCTTCTAAGATGTTGTTATTGTGCGAGGGTGTTTTTGAACATTCCTTAAAACTTACCTTCTGGGTATTTGTGATGAGGTGTTTCGAACTAGGCAGGGATCTGTTTGCTCTGCGAACTTTTGTTTGCGGGTATGAGATGTATTGACACCAAACAAAGTGCCCAATGAATATTTATATAGAGAGCAATGGCATTAAGATCTTTCTGAAATCAATAAACGTCTTTGTTTAGGTCTACCACACTCAACATCACCCATTGTTTGGTAATGCTTTTCCTTTTTGACTTCCAGACTGCTAGACACGGAATTTTTTTTGTTATTGTCGTTTATATATATTTTTCCTTAGTATCTTTTGTCGTGTTTATTATTATCCTAATGATAATTATTATTATTTCTAGCCGAGATAAATGTTATGAATAATAAGTGAGTTAATTGTCTGTGACAAAGAAATAGAGAGACTGAATATCATAAATTCTAAAAAAAACACCTTTTATGTATACGATGAATATTTAATAAGACGTGAGAAAGTACTGATAACTAAGATATTGATCTAGATTGCTGTTATGTTCCGAACTAGTTTTCTCTCTATCCATCGATCAAAATCAAATTTGTAAATGATTGGAATTTGAGTTTAATTAAAGTAAAGAAAAAGATAAAATTTATCCAGTTGGAAGTCGTGTTGTGGTTTTCGTATTTTATCAAAAAGGAGTACAGTATGCAAACCCGTCCCTTTGTCCCCTTTTTTTCAAAATCTCTCTTGCGCCTTGTGGGCACAAAGTGGGTTGACAAGGAATTTCTCCCGTTTACGCAAAATCCAATACGGTGGAGGAAGCTATAGAGCCAATTGAGACTGATTTTTGGAACTATTTTTGCTTTTACTACTGAATTCAAGCGTTAGCTCCTCTTTATGCCTTAGGGTTTTAACTTAATAAGGAACAATAAAAGAAATAAGAAGTAAAGAAAAGAAAATCTAAAAATATGTCTACCGTTAGTCCTGAAGAAAATGAATAAAATATATTTTCCTGCTAAACTGAAACAAGAGGTTTGACATCCCGGTTGTAGTAAGCATTTAAATTCAAATTGGAAATGGTTCGATAACTGCCAGTGAAAATAGTATTTCATGATCATGTTAAATGAAATGTTCAAGTTATGTTAAAAAATAAAATAAAATACGTTAAAATTGCTCAGGAAATTATTAAAAAGATCTCAGAAAGAAGACTTTTTTAATTTGGCTTTCAGAAAACTGTTAGTAGATTTACCGCAGGTGATTTGGTTGACCTATAAGTCTCCCTATTAAAATTATTTAAGCAATAGAGACTAAGTTCTATGACTCTACCGGTGAAATAGAGCACGCGGGATGTTGGGATAAACACGCTTGTTTCGAGGCGGAGGCGAGTGATTTTTGAACTTTTTCGAGTGTTTATCCCAACATCCCAAGTGCTCTATTTCCCCGGTAAAGTCATAAGAATTTAGTCTCTATCGCTTTAATGATATAGCAGAAGATATTTTAAGATTGTTAAATCGTTTTATCGTCTGATCAAATTTCGATTCTCCACACTTTGGCAAATAAGCGAATCACATTCGTCGTACCTTTTCTCATTCACACTGGAAAGACGAGTCTGAAAAATTAGTTTTCACGAAAATGTCTTGAAAAAATTAATGAAAAGGATGTAAACATAAAGATTCTACAAAAAGGATTGGAAAATCCGACTAAATATTCGAGAACAAGTGACATTTCCTTAAGATTTGTACATGATGTGCACATTTTTGGATCGTGCAAACTCAACAACATTGGGTTTTGTCAGGTTTGTTTTTAACCTGTTTTCCATACCTACATCAAAGCAAACCTCGTATCTTGGGTAAGTTTTATAGCTTTTTTTTTTTGAGGGACTGTTTAGGAACCTTTTTGTTCTATTCCTAAGTGAAACGAGACTGTTTTCGGGCCATAGTTTTCGCCGCTTTCGACCTAAACTGGCTGTAGGTTGCCTCGGCGGAAAATCATTTCGCAAAATTTGCTCTAGCATTTTGCAAGGTACTTCCTCGACTTTTACTTCCATATCCGTCTAAGAAAATCATTCTAATAGGAAAATGTGTGTGTTTGCTTTATATTCGATAGAAAGTTTTAGTTGTTATGCTTAAAAGTTTATAATAAGTCTCAACATTGTTCAAGCGTGTTTGCAAACAAGAAAAAATGTCGAATTTCAACAATCGAAAGAGTTTTCACTTTACAGACATGTTTTTATGTCTTTTTATCTGAAAAACTAAAACTTTATTAAATGAAAGTTTACTACAAATGATTAAAACTAGTCTTGAAAAACAGAAATCAACCATTTTGTGCAGATTTCTTGGAGAAGAAAATGTAGTAGAGAAACTTTCAAATGTGAGCTGTCAATCAAAAACTATGTCTTTACCGGCCAAATAGAGCATATGTTTTCAGTCAATCAGAGCGCGCACACTATCTAAGCGACATCATAAAAAATAATAATCATAATAACGTTCATTATCATTTATGTAATAATGTAATACTTGATAATTCAAGAGAAAACAATTGAATACCAAACTTATGACCTGAAGTTAAAAGAGAAGGAAGTTTTTTGCTGTTATGTCTAAGATTTTAGCAGAGACTAAGAAAACTTGAAGTTTTTTTTTTAAAATATGCATAGGCTTCTAAAACCTCTGAGATGCCGCCAAATAGCGATTTGAAATAATAAGAAAGTCACCTCCTTAGTTTCTCCATCCTTTCTGTCCACATGAACAAAAGGTATCTTCAAAAATAAACTTTTCCCGAATCCGCTTAACTACTACAAAACAATTGTATCAAGTCGGTATGGACTGAGGGTACACCAGATTAGTGATGCAATAGATTATAAGGATGTCTTCATGTTTAAGTCGCTCACGGGTCAAGCATGCTCGAGAAACCTGTTAAAGAGTAACTGCTTCCGTGATAAAGCTGAGATTAAATAAGACGAAAGAAAATTAATAAAGGTCACTAAATGCCGAAAATCGAGAGTAATTTAAATAATAAAATCTAATGATGATCGTGTTCCAATCACCCTCCATTTTACTGGCTTTTCTATCTCAGCTGCCCGGCCCAAAACTTAACTGCATCTTGATGTGTTGCAATAAGACCCCTTGCATGTGACGTCAAAACAGCTCGGTCTGGGGGCAAAACAAAAGAATTCCAATCTCGTGAGAACTGGAACCTATTTTTTTTGTCCCCCAAATCGAGCTGGATTCCAATGTGTGGCCAGGAGTCTATAGTCAAATTAAGGAAACCGTGAACACCGTGAACAAAATATGCCTGGAATGTTGAACATCGTGTTCTGAGCAATGGCATGCGAGAATGAATCCATTTTTTAATTAAATGTCGCATCCGATTGGTCAAAACACGATGTTTAATGTTGTAGGCATATTTTAGCTGTTCACGTTTTTCATAAGAAGAAATAACTAGCTAAAAACTTGTGTGATCTGCGTTGGTAATATGCTATGTGTTAATTCAATAATAATAATAATAATAATAATAATAATAATAATAATAATAATAATAATGATAATAATAATAATAATAATTTGTTTATATCGCGCATTTTCCAATGTGCCCAATTGCGCCTGTCCGATGGGACTCTACTATATATTAAATGATATATAGCTAATATATAAATATCATATAACTAATACATAACTAAGATATAACTAAGATATGACTTATATACAGTCAACGTCGCTAACGTTGTCCACCGAAAAAAGACATTTAGGCATTTACACACTTAGACATTTACACATTTACACATTTAGACTAAAAGAAATATCACGTTTTTCCTCGAAAGTTCTGGCATAAAACAAACGCTGAAATACCCTTCTTCGTCTTAAATCCTCCCTCACTAAATGGTCGGGGCATTCTGGATTTTAGATCCACGAGTTGAATTTAACATTTAAAGTTCAGGCTGACGCTCACGAGGCAAAGAATACATAATGAAACGCGTGATATTTCTTTTAGTCTAAATGTCTAAATGTGTAAATACCTAAATGTCTAAATGTCTTTTTTCGGTGGACAACGTTAATGACATGGACTGTATACAGTCCTTTGACTAAACGTTGTCGTTGATCGGATCATCCCTACGCGCCTAGACCGAAAAGGATAACGGGTAAATTATCCAGAACTTGCGTCATCCAAACTGCTCGCCAGTTTAAATCTTCGCCGTATGCTCAAGGCTTTTTTTTTTTGCAAATTAAATGGGATCGAAAAAAGGGAGCTCAAGACGTGTTAGATAACATATGCGGCAGCTAGTAACTGTGAATTAATTATCCCCATGGTCCTTTTCGGTCTAGGCGCTTAGGGATGAAGCCGATCAAACGACAACGTTTAGTCAAAGGACTGTAACTAATATATAACTTAGGTCCAGTCTAGACGTCGCATCCCGCACGCGCCGAATCCAACGCAAACGAGCAAACCTAAAGTTTCAATAATTTTTAATAATCTCTTGTTATAATTATAGAATAAGAACAAAAAAATGATTGAAGAAAACTCTTTCACTCATCTTTAGTAATATCATATATATATTATAATACAATATCCTTAATTTTATTGAATAAGAGAAAATCACAAGAGATCAAAGGTTCAAAGGTTTATTTATTTCAACGCACATACAAAAAAATAGTTGCAATTTAATTGAAAGTATAAATTACGACTATGAGATATAAGATGAAATGTAGAGGATGCAAGAGAAAAACCCTATAGGTTAAGCAAAGCTCTTATATTGCTGCAGCCAGTGACAATCGATCCTTTGCTCACCCTTCATTCCCCGCTAGCGGTAGTCAAAAAATTATGTTGTGAACTTTGTTTCCGTCGCGTGATCTTTTATGTGGTTTCACACTAAACATGCTATTCTATTTACTAGGTTTTGGCACACCACTATCTTTAATTGACGTTTTTTTAAAAAATGGAAATGACGACCATGAAAACATTATACCTATGACGTGGTATTGCAGTTTCGCGTACAACCCGTAGCGATTTATTCACAGTTGCACAAGTGAACACCCATACAGCTTATTTCTTACAATCATTGAAAATAATTTTTGTGATTTGATTTGTCGATGTTAACGCTGACTATGAAATGCTAATTGAAATAAAAAACTAATAATGAACGAATTCGACATACCTAAAAACATTAATACATCCTGTTCCCACATTTAATGATTGCCGCGTAGCGGTCAATTTTTCGTGATAAAAGAGTGATAGCTTGCGTGTCGCCGTTATATTCTATTTCACAGAAACTACATCACTTCACGTAATAACGTTTACATATAGTAAACGTAATAGCCGATGTTGAAGATTATGAAAGAGAAGGGGAATAATATACGTGCTAATCGGTCAAAAAGATCCACTTCATTGTCCTTTGTCGACTGAAAACATTTAAGTTTGGGTTTGCAAAACCAGTCGAAAAAGCTTGGCCTTGGCGGGGTGGCGGCATAGGGGCTGTGCGATATAGCAGGTCCGGGTATAAGAGTCTGAAACAAAATTGAATAAAATAAAAACTAAAGATGTTATAAACCGAATCGAAATATGGCGACCAATTTGAATAACCAAATTTGTCCTGGTATTGACTAGCTTCTCTTAAATATGAAACGGTTTAGTGTTTCCACTTGAACACAAGGCTACTCAGTCCACGTGCAAAATATTACTTATTACTTACATAATACTTATTGAAATATTGGTCGCCATATTCGATTTGATGTTTTTGCCAGCACAAGCCTAAATATAATTTAAAACCGTGATTAAATAATATGGCGGTATATGTGTAGTTATAGATATCTGCTTAGGTATTTTGCGGGTTTTTTCATTTAATTATGGGTTGAAATTTTGGTTTGTGGTTGATTCATTTTCTGGTTGTGCCATTTTGGTCAACCTAGTTAATGACACACATTTGGATTTTTATTACTATGGCTTACAGATGCATTGCGTAAGTTTCACATTTGTAGCTTTAATTTTTTCCCTAGATAGTTATACCAAATAACACCGACCCTAGACCAATTGCCCTATTTCACTATGACGTCACATCAAGACAATCTATTGTTTAAACGCAAAGGATCTTGGTCGTCGGAGGGGGTAAAATCAATGCAAATTCACCGAAAATCAATCAACCCTCATCAATCCACGAAGAGAAGTAAAATAGCCAGCAAACGCTCAGAATATTTTTAGTACATATTAACACACATTATATCTGAAAACCAGGCCATTTTAGATTAAACTGTGTCGCTAGGAGCAAATTTTATTGGATTTGGAGATTTTATACCCCACATAAACAAGCAGTGATATCGTAGTGAAATAGGGCAATTCCATAGTGACCTACAAAATCCATTTTTAAGTAAAAAATTTATACGAGGGGAATACATATCTCACCACCTATTCTGCGACAATGCTAATCGTGTACGTTGGGTTTGTAAGCAATTAGAAATCGATTCATCGTCAAGATTTAAACTTAAAATATACTATGAGCATACCCTCGGGGGTTTTGGTGCAGAATATGTTTTAGTACACAAAAAAACTGATATATATTTCACAATATATTACGTGCAACCCGCCTGCCCATCAGGTAAATTTGGTTTGGAATGAACAAATAATGGAAGATGTCTATGGAGTTACACTCTGTTGCCTTCAAACAATAGACCCATCCCGAATTCGCTTGACTGACCACGAAACAATGGTTTGTCGAGACTGGACTTGATTATTTTGTTCATCATGTTCAACCTCGACTTGAAACCATGTCTTCGTGGCCTGTCAAGCGAATTCGGGATAGGTCTATTGTTTCAAATCGAGGTATTTTGGTTTCAGACAGTGAAATGCACAAAAACTGAACAAAATGTGTTCACCTGCATAGAGTGTAACTCTCATATCTGATATTCATTACTACAGTTTCAAAGTTATGCCTAGATAGTGTTCTGCTACTAAGGCATTCAACGGGTTTTCTTTTGTTCCCAGCCCTTCTTGGCATGATATGCCATAGCCATGATATAATGATACAAACACGATATTACTTTATTGGGTCAATTTCTAAATAGTTGTAAAACAGAATTTATTCGATGTACTAACCCCAACGCTCCCGATTAGCAAAGTTGCAGATGTAAACATTAAGTGAACATTCTTATATTAGAATTATATTATAATATATATATATATGTATATATACTATAATATAATTATAATATACGAATGTTCACTTGACAGGAAAAAAAGGGAAAGATGCAGGGGTGCGTCAACGTCTTTACGCAATGTTTTCTCCTGAGATTTGGCGTGCTGTAAAAACCTTATAAAATTTGAGCTAAATTAGATTGGAAAGTCGCTAATAAGCCTATCAGTACATGGCCAGCATTCCCAATACAGTCATAAGATACATACATCGCGGAAATTTTGTGCGGTTAACAACGGATGCTAATTAGAAATATTTTGTTAAATAGCACCAACATGGCCACTTTGGCTTAATATGCAATCAAAGAATGTGTACACACTCAAATGAAGAATCGTTGTCGGGTTTAGAAACATAGAACATTAAAGGTGAGACCGAAATGGCACATAGGAAATGACATAATTATATTATAATTTATTCATTTTCGCCACCCATACAGTCGGTTTAGAATGCCAAACGCGTATTAAAAACAGTGGGTGATGCCACGGGTCGCCAGTCACAGCATGCATCGTACTTCCCATGTAGCATTTCGGTCTCAGCTTCTATGTTCCATGTTTCTGAACCCGACAACGATTCTCTAATCGAGTGTATATGACATATTGTCTCCTTCCTCAATATTTTTAAAACTTTAGCTAAATGCAAATTAAAAAAGATTCTATATTCCTAAAAAAAATCTTACCGATCTTCTGTGTGGGTGTTGACCTGGGCCAGGTGGAGCTAGATGAATTCTGCTGGTATGTATGGGTGTAGGATCGTTATAAGAGAGTCGAGACATGGAAGTTCTCGAAGGTGAAGATGCCAGTGAGGAAGGACGATAAGTTATATTGGCAGCAAATCCATCGATGTCCAAATGCGCTCGGCTCTTTATCTTCTTTCCTTTCATTTTCTTTTTTGCGTTGTGTTGGCTGTGCATCAAGACTGCTATGTACTCAAGCAATACGCCAAACACGAAGAGGAAAGAAACGATAAGGTAGCAATCGATTGCCTTGATGTAAGACACCTGCAAGTTGATTCATTTGGTAGCCGTTTTAAGGAAAAGGTTTTGAAAATTACTCCCATCAAAGAACTAAGAAACACTTAGCAAAATATTGACGAGGCATCAGATATGCTAGTGTAGTCTTTACTCAATATAATGAATCGTTTGCGATACCAACGTGGTTGTATATTGTGGTTATTCTTAAAAACTTGATCTATCAATTTTTTTTAACCGGAGATATCTATGTCAGACCACAGCTGACGGTGAAAAAATAAAAATGGAATTTAGCATATGATTTGACTATAACCTGATTGTCAAAGTGCGTCCCTATTTCTAAAATATAGACGCATATTATGAATTGCTTGTCTGTAAATTTATATTGGATTACAACGTTAAGGTAGTACTATGGCAGATCGCTGTCATTTAAACTTTATCTGGGTCGTTTTGCATTGCTGGGGGGTAATCTAATAACCCTGCCCTATCCCCCTTGTTTCTCATGCAGGCCATATACATCATTATTACGAAAAGAAAATAGAAGAAACAGGGCTACCTAAGCACTTATTCCTTAGCTATACGTATTCCTTTTTGATTTACCTAGGGATGATTATTACCTTAGGAACTGTATTTCTCAAGGACCCCATCAAAGTAACAATAGTCAATACAGTAGTAATTCCCAGGGCTACTCGGGCGGGAACGGCATCTTTTGATATCCAAAAGGAGAGCCAAGACAATACAACGATTAGAAACGTTGGGGAGTAGATTTGGATGAACGAATAGGCGAGTCGACGTTGTAATACGAAATTGGCAACGAGATGAATGTAGGTCCCTGATATAAAAAATGGAAAAAACATAATATATATACATAAAATTGTAATCGTATCCAATAAGGTTTTTCCATTACGTCCCAACCATGACACGTAACAGAAACAGGGAAACCCCTTTGCATAAACAGTAGTCGCATAACCTTTTAAACAGAAATTATGTTAGTCAAAGTATTACATGATCATCCGGGTGGATGTAGTCCTGAGAAGGACTGTTTGATGTGGCTGACGTTTCGACAACCTGAGCGGAAGTCATCTTCAGAGTCAAGTGAAGAATAAAGTCAGATTGGTTATATTCATATCCTAATTGGTCATAATTATATACTAATATAAAGCACGAGAAAATTACTAAGTAATTAATAAGAATAAAAACTCGATCTTGTGTGTATGAGCATGGCTATTGTTGTGTTATGTGCTATTTTATGGAACCGTGGCCCAGCGAAAAAAATATTGATGCTCGCACTTTCTCATATTGTGTAATTGTTTCTTGTCTAACCAAATGCTTTTCCAGGCGGCTGATTAGTACCCAGTTTCCCATTCGCTTCTGTTCGCATTTAAAGGCAATCCTAATGGTATATTAACCCTAGCACATGACGTCACCTATCACGTGATCCTAGGAGGTCAATCAGACGCAATGTTTTCGTTATCGTACGATTTCTACTTAAATTAAAATGGCCTGCTTCTGTACGTTTTTTTTGTTGTTGTTGTTGTTTTTTTTTTTTTTTTTTTTTTTTTTTTCTTTTTTTGGTTTTGTTTTGTTTTGTTTTTTGTTTCTCCAATCGGTCATAAACGCGTAGATTCAGTTTAAACACAATAGGAAAAAAGAAAAACTTAACTCAACTGACAAATTGAAATAGCATGATAAACATGCTAACAAAAATAACAAGTACAAGTAAAGAAAAGAAACTGAAAATAAATAAAAAAATGAGAGCTGCATCTTTGAAAAGATACAAATTGTCTAGTAGTCTTACCAATAACGTATTTCACTTGTTTTCTCTCTCCCTTGTAGTCAGATAATTCAAACTCAGACATCTCAGGATCAAGAATGATAAGATCCTCCTTTGGCTTCCAATAGTAATCAATATCGTTGACATCATAAGAGTCTGTCAACAAAAATACAGGCATTTGGGAAATTAGCGGATTTCTTATTTGAGTAGAAAAAAATCGAAATGAAAAGGAAACTGAATGAATGTGAATATTTTATTACACATACAACTCAATATCTCCAGAGCGCATGTTTGAATGTCTAATGGATATCTTCTAAGGTCCATACGGCAGGAAGCTGTGACAGTTAATCTGACGATAAAAACAAGGAGTTAAGGAAGTTCGTGCGCGGGCACTGTTTGTGCGCATCATTTCTACAAGCAAAATACTTATATTTACACCGTACATATTCCTCACGTCAGAATCAGGCTTTTGTAAAAAGAAATATTTCTTACCTTTCACTAAGTTCAATTTGGCCATTTTGCTCAATGACAATACGAACATTAGAAGCGGGTACGTTGTGAAACTTGGCTGTTTTGACATTGAGAATAAAAGTGTCAGGAATCCAGATATTTTCCTTGAGTTTGCCTGGCAGAATCAGAGGAAATCCTACTGAATGGCTTAATCTTGGGTCATTCCATGACTGCTTGAAAAATAAATCCAGAGAAAACTCCTGTGGAAAAAGAAACAACTAGTAATTTTTTATCATAATTTAAAATGTGAAATTTGAATTAATTCAACCTCATCTTGGGATACTGCTTTATATAAGACGGCAATCTGGTTGAACCTATTTCTGACTAGTTCTGTTTTCACAGATGGCTGTCATTTTCTTTAAAAAATCAGAAATGTTTTGAGATCTCACCATGTCCTTTTCTATGACGTTACTTATGGATACCACGGTTATGTACACAGATATATTCAGTGGTATACCTAAAAAACGATAATGATGTTAGATAAAAAGCATGCATTTGATTTCTATTGCTGGTTATCAATCATTTCTAAGGGAGTGAAATAGCAAAAGACACAATGGCCAAGTTGGTTGATATAACGTACAGAAGAATTCATTGGCAATCGACCAATATGTCGGCTATGATGTGTTGTGTAAACGAAGGTCTAGAATTAATTGAACAACCCGGCAAAAAATACAATGAAACGATTGTTTCTCTTGCTTTTCTATCGAGTGCTCCACAGCTCCCAGAGTGTTTATAACACTACACAGAAACGTATGCAGCCGTTTTATATTGTATTATAATATAACTAGATTATTACGCCCGCTCTGATTGGCCAAAAACCAATGAACTATTTCCCCATGGGCTGCACGCTCGCGCACGCTGATCTCAACGGACGCTCGCCTTTTTTCTCTAAATTTTCAAACCCGATGGCGTCAATAGCGCGCGCACGAGCGAGATGTGTGATATAACGTGCGCTCTGATTGGCTGAAATGCCTATGAACTATTTGCCCATGGGTCGCACGGTAGATTTTTGGTCATATTATAATTCAGTTAGACGACAAAAAAGCGCTCGCCCATGGCGATATAGACGCACTTGAGAAAATATAAATAACTCTTAACAAGCTAGAGTGTCACTCGGCTTCGCCTCGTGCCACTCTTTCGCTTGTTAATCGTTCTTTATATTTTCTCTCGTGCGTCTATATCGTCATGGGCGCGCGCTTTTATGTCGTCTAACTGATAATTAATAAAATCTTTTCGAACGATTTTGTGCGAGCGGGTCTCTTGATGTAAACACTGTAGATAGCCAGCCAATCAGCGCTCACGTTTTTTAGTTTCAATATTTTGTAAGAATCAAATAAAGAAATTAAAATGCTTCCTAAATCAGTTGAGTTTTTTTTCCCCGGTTTTTTTTCTAGGTTGCTATATATGACGTATTTCAAGACCCAAATTAATTTAATGCTGTACCCTAATTTATTTACTTACCACCGAAATAAGGTCTCAGGCGGTTGTCATATCCCACTAATAAATCATCGATGGCTTTTGTTACGTTCTCTGATTTTTTCGAATAATCCCTGAAATAGTTATAAAGAAAGCATAAATTTAAACCTAATCTTATTGAGTTTATGATAACTGAAAAAAGCTGAGTTCTAAAGACTGATCAGACACTACGCGTTGTGCTTCTCGTAACACTTATCTCGTGTTCTACCAACTCCCACTTCATAACTGCAAACTGCACTCGAAAGTTTAAATTCGCAGAGCGCACGCGCGCGCCACACACACACACACACACACACACACACACACACACACACACACACACTTACACACACACACACACACACACACACACACAAAACGCGTTAATTTTAGATACTTTCTTCTAAAATAGCATTTCGATTAATCAGAGCACGTGCATGTTAGAACTCAGTCAGTATCTCATGAAAGTGTATCCCACGAGCATTAATGATTCTTAAGCGGACATGAAGGTGAACTGGTCATTCAAAACAGGAAAAAAAAAAAAAAAAAAAAATTGCAACAAACAACGGCTCATTTAGGCATAAAGTGAAATAGTTCATCAACGCTTTTATATTATTGTGAGTATGAGTAGTAGTGTAGGGACCGCACGATCCGGATTTTGGACGGGGAAGGGGACGGGGCGGGAAGGGGACGGGGAAGGACGGGGAAGGACGGGGACATTAATTATTCATCACATATTAGCATAAAACGACGAGCAGGTATCGTTTGAGGTTACCATGACGACCAATTGACCTCATCAGACTATTGTTTATTAAATCGTTACCATAAAATGAGGAGCAGACTATTGTTTATTAAACCATTACCATAAAATGACGAACAGACTATTGTTTATTAAATCGTTACCATAAAACGACGGGTAGATATTGTTATGCAAGTTTGGGCAAGTCTTTTGTTTAGCAATCCAATTTATAGACCTCGGGGATTTTGAATTTTTAACTCCAAAACTCAACCAACCAAGCAAGCAAGCAAGACCTAAAAATTTATTTTTGAGAAACGCAATGGCTACGTTATTCCAGTTAGGCTCTCGAGAATATCACGCTACCGTCAATGAATTCAAAAGACTAATGAAAATAAATGTTTTTTTGAAATGATATTATGTGTTGAGCAAATTCATGATAACATCCTTCCATAATTCTCTTGAAAGCAAACACCAAAGTTCAGCTATCAACCAAGCGTAAATCTTCCAAACTCATCAAACTCAAGAAATACTTTGAGTATTTGCTGACTTTTGTATCCAACACAATGCACTTAATAAACGATAAACAATAAGACCTACTAAGTTCTTCCTAATTCTGCAAAAATCAGCTGAAAATGATTAGTTCTGTTATCTTGTTCTTTATTATAAAAACAGCAATCGTTCTATTTCATACTGGACCATAGTACAATGATTCTGAGTTCCCTTGGCATTCAAGCTTATTAATGCTGTCATATCTCTTTCCTTCAATCATTTTTTGTCACGTGATAAATAAGACACGGCATCAAAACAATCTTGTGAATGCACAAATCTACAGGAAGCCCATATCCGATTTAGTTATTGAAAAACACAGGAGGCCCATGGCCAATTCGTATTTCCACAGGCAGCCCATCCGATTTAGTTATTGAAAACACAGCAAGCCCATGGCCAAGCCCATTTGAAATACCAAAATTAATAAATGATTTTATAATAATTTTATATTTGCCTATTTTTTCTATGATTGAGAGTCGGTGTAAGATTACCTTCTCTCCTCCTGCTATCTACAGGCTATCAATAGCTTAGCTATCAGGCTATCAATAGCTTAGCTATCAGGCTATCGATAACCTGGCTATCAATAGCTTAGTTTCTTGGCTATCAATAGCTTAGCTATCAGGCTATCGATAGCTTAGCTATCAGACTCTCAATAGCTTAGCTATCAGGCTATCGATAGCATGGCTATCAATAGATTAGTTTCTTGGCTATCAATACCTTAGCTATCAGGCTATCAAACTTGCATAACAATACCTAACCGTCGTTTTATGGTAGCCATTTAATAAACAATAGTCTGCTCGTCATTTTATGGAAACGATTTAATAAACAATAGTCTGCTCGTCATTTTATGGTAACGATTTAATAAACAATAGTCTGCTCGTCATTTTATGGTAACGATTTAATAAACAATAGTCTGCTCGTCATTTTATGGTAGCGATTTAATAAACAATAGTCTGCTCGTCATTTTATGGTAACGATTTAATAAACAATAGTCTGATGAGGTCAATTGGTCGTCATGGTAACCTCAAACGATACCTGCTCGTCGTTTTATGCTAATATGTGATGAATAATTAATGTCCCCGTCCTTCCCCGTCCCCTTCCCCGTCCAAAATCCGGATCGTGCGGTCCCTACACTACTACTAGTATGGCATGACCTGAGGGTGATTAGTGACTAAATGTCCACGAAAGCCGAGGGAGGTTTTGTTGAAGTCCCGACGCCGTGAATGACCCGGTTGCTTTAAAAGTTCACTCCCATATACTGTCACACCATCACTGATGCAAATCTTTGAAAAAGATTAATATTATCTTGAGTTATCGTGACATATACAACATTTATGGCGATAGGTTTGTAAAACAAGTGAGAAAACTCGAGTTTGTAATCAAAAACGTCTAAGTGTTCAATTGTTTTAAGTACGATGAGTATGAGTAGCATTGAAGCCGAAAGGTCTACATTCATGTGGACATTCATTGTAAAAAATACAAGATTGTCAAGCCCTGGCTACCAGCTCTTGGAAGCCTGAATAGCACTCAGTCAGAGTGTCTAGTTTGCATGACGTGTGGCTGTTTGCAAAATTTTCGAATCATGATCAGCAATCGTACGTCATATATTATTCCCTCATTTGAGCTATAACAACGTTCAATCAAAAATCTTTATTTAAAAATAAATAAAAATGAAAATATATTATGCTATGTCATCCATTGCCTTAAAGTTTCAAGCAGTGACTGAGAAGTCGAAAACTCTTTCGATTAAGAGAAATATTGCTCAAACCGAGATTAAATACTTAAATTTGGTCGGGGATAGTGGATGTTGGAAGAAAACCGCCACCTTAGAAGAGCATAAAGCACATACAGGGCGGGAAATTTTTGTTCAGGAATTGATCAAGTATACCCATGAACGGTAACGCTTTAAAACACCTGCACACGCACTTTCGATGTGATGCACTTTCTCTCACCCTAGCACATTTGATGCAAGAAGCATTCTAATATCAGCAATAGCTAATGAAAAATACCACAGTATAAAAAATGCCGTTCAGATTATGGCTTTAAGTTGATTCTTTGGGCTTCTTAGGTATAAATTAGGAGGTCTATGACAGTTGTCTAAAATAGGTACCAAATTTTACTTTGATTTTGTTGGTAAGCCATGTGATCAAAGTTTAAGGCCGGCGGCTACTCATAAGGAAACTCATAAGGATTTCAGTTTCCTATGATGAAAAATGTTGTAACCTAATCTGTAAGAAATAAGAGGTGGCCAAAATCAAAATATGTAATGGGCCGCATTGTTTCGTTTTCTGTTTTACTAGAGTATTTAGCAAATAAGTATCGAAACTAATATTTCAAGTTTTGATACGCCCACAGTGGACTGTCTTACTGTCTTACCTTGCTTTTATCGATGCAGCTTGTACTGAACCAATGCAACAAATTATTAACATCTTTTGAAACAGAAGGCTGTCTGTCATCATTTTCTTCCTCATAAGAATAGAACTCTTTTAAAAGTAAAAATAAAATAAATTATGATATCAAATAAGATTATAATGTGACTTTCGACCAATGTGGAAAAGTTTTCTCTTTTATCAGTCAAAGAGTATTGCCTTTTTTCCCATTTCGGAACACGTGTCATTACCTAGAGGATCACTTCTTTGTTTAACGGTTGCAAAGACACGCATTAAATGGATTTAACTCAAACAACGTATCTCAAGGGTATGACAAGTGCTATTTATTGAGAAAAGATTACCCCCAAGATAAATGGGCCTATTTATTTTCGCTTTTCTCTAGGCCATTGGGTCCAGCAGTATGTTATAAATGAAATTAACGTCGCTGCTGCCCATGATAGCGGAGCTCCCGTGGAGCACCATACATAAGGGAGGTCTTACCTATATAAAAGCCACGGTTGCTATGGAAAGGATTAAACTCTGCTTTAAGAGGTTTTTCCTTAGTTTTACGCACATACATAAAGCCAATTTGTGAAATGGATCCATCTCAGATATATAAGATGACGTCATCACGCTCACGTAATTTATGACGTCATATTTCATATAGCAAAAAGCAAAAAACTAGCGTGCATTTGGTCGGTTTGACCCAAGAATAAACTAAAGTATAACTGAGATGAAATGGAACAAAGCTATGCATTAGTTTTGGAAATAGGTGAAAAGGCCAGGCTACCAAGTCATGTTGAAATTATTCAATTTAAATATCTTCCAAATTGCTTAACGTATAGTACAACCTATACACAACTTTGTATTAAAAATTCTCGAAGAATAGTTAAGGCTTATATGAAAGGAATAAAAATATTTTAATTAATAATTAGGATGAGAAAATTATTTTTTTAACTGCCAAATTTGGTTTTGTCGTTAATTCAGGGCCTCTCAAATTTGACAGAAAGAACCTATTGGCGGGGTAGACTGGGACAACTGGCGGATGGGAGTGGAAGGGCTGGTTTCAGCATATGAATGTATACGTAGTACTTAGTTCATGTGAGCTTCCGAAAATACCAGATAATAAAGTAGGTATTGCATGCCATGCACTGGAAAACGACATCGAAATATGTGATGTGATTGCTGTATGCGGATCTACTTTGACGGTTTTGTTCAACAACTTTCACAAGCCCCGCCCCACGGGGAATAAAATAAAAGTGAAGTCCCCGCGTCATCTTTTGAGCAGTTTATTTTAATATGTCAGCTGGATATTATATATATATTTTGCAGCAGAAATGTGTTCTCGCCGACAAAGAAATAGATTTAAGTGTTCAATATTAAAAAAAAAAAAAAAAAACTTTCACAGACGTTTTATATGTAATGTAAAAAGTGCGCACCTAGAAGAAACAAGACGCCATAAAGGCTTATAACTAGTTTGCCTGTGTCATGCACAGACTCGACCTAGTACAGCTGTTTCATAAAAAAATAATGATTTCTTTTAAGTCCCCGGCACCTTTATAGCGGATCTCCCGCGCGGGCCACCATAGGTATACAATATGGTAAACTATCCAACTCAGTTTTCGTGGTCATCGCATGGCATGGGAACCCTGTGCGTAACGCTAAAAGTGTCGCCCGCCAGGTGTACATCGCGTTTCTGATTGGTCGAGCTAGCTTTTAAATCACACGTCACTTGGACCATTACGACTTTTTAGCGAGATCTTTAACTATTAAGTTGTTTGGTAAAATTGTAAAAACGAAACAAAAAATCATGGAAGAAATCGTGGAAAAAAAGACTTCGTTCGACACAGTGTGCAGATAGAGGTTAGTAGAAGATAATATAGGTAAGTTGTAGTGCTTGGGAACGAGGTTAGGGTATTTTCTGTTTTGTTTTATTTGTATATAACATAGCTACAATTACCAAAAAGCGACCAATGAACTAGAATGTCAAACGTGCGAAAAAAGTGTACCTGTTATTATGGTAAGAGTACTTTCATATTGACTTTCATTTAATAATTTTATATCTTTCTACAGATAATTTATTTAAATATTGAATGACATATAAAATTACATCAAATATTCAACTGTTTATTGAGCTTTTCGGCCTAGTACATGATTGTAAAAATGAGCTTAAATTTGTGTTGTTGAGAGGTATGTTATTGTATAAAGAGCGGTACCTTGTTTTTCACTTTCAAAAGCAAAAAAATATTCAAAAACATTTACAAATGCTAATTTACTGACAAAAAAATTGTTATTTTGTATTTTGCATTGCATTTTGCATTATTTTCTATTTTGTCTTAGTTGTTCTTGTCAAGTTTAAATGAATGTAAACTTCGTTTTTCGAAAACTTTTGTTGTTCGTGATTTCCCTATCTTTCTCACACATGAAAACGGATGAAGACTGGTAAAATTGAATTTCAAAATCTAGTAAGCTTATGTTTTCAAGCTTCTCGAATCAAAATAGTTAAGGCTTTTATGAATGAAAATACGGTTCTTGTAAAAACATAAAGCTTTTCATGTGGATAACTGACCAAACATTGTTATGTGTAAATGAAGTAAAGTAAGCTTATATATTTTGCTCACCTTTTTTAACCAGTTTCCAAGTCTGTTTAGTCTTGATTTGTCCATAAAAAGTTCGGAAACCTCCAAAATTTTGATTTCAATGAAAGACATCCAAGGTAAATTTCACTAACCCTGATATTGTATTGGATTATCAGTAGTTATCTTTCGTTTTATAATCAAAGTTAACCAGGAATTCAAAGCTTAAAAAATAGCGCTTATAAAACGCATGTGGTTACTGCCATTATCGAAATGCAATAGATGTTTCAGGGGCGTAGCGAGGACCTAGGAGCTGGCGGGGCACTGATCCCCCCCCCCCCCC